TTTCTTTTGCTTTTTCTTCTATATCTTAATTTGTAGTCAATTCTTCTTCCATTAAATTTAAAGTAAAACTTTATTCCTTTCACATAAACATTGAATGTTTCTAATTTATTTGCACCTTTAATCACACAAAATTTATATTTAAAAAACATCTTATAACTTTTCTCTTTTACTTTTATTTATTTTCCATTGCTAATTCTTACTTTAGAAATGAGATATTTATTGAGCATTTTGAAAAGTTTTTTTTATCATGAGTCATGTGATTTATCTAATTACTATTTATAAGTTAACTAGTGGATTTGTTGACTATAAAACATGATATTACAATTGTTCTTTATAATTTTGAATACTTTTTATTGTTGCCAATTGTATTATTTTTTTTTTTCAACATGTCTCACTTAACCACATTTATCACGTTTTAGATATGACTTCCACTTATTGCATGGATGATTATTTTTCATATAATGCAAACAAATAGGAAAAACACATTATTTGTTATTTTGGTAGTTCTTGTCTTGAAAGACACCATCACTAGTATGATATAATAAAGAAATTTCAATAGTATGATTTTCTCTTATTAATTTTCATTGTTCTTGCGCTTGTAAGACATGTGACACTTCTGTAAAATTAATTTTTAGATAAATCTTTTTGTGTTTTTCAAAAACAATAAATATTTCATATCTCTACTACAAATAAATTTTTTTCTCAATTAATCTAAAATTAGGAAATTTCTTATCTAAAAGTTTTATCATATTAGTAATATCTAACAATTTATTTAAGTATTTATTAATTGTCTCGTACTCTTTCCTTAAATTTTCTTATAATTGGATATATTCTCGTTCTTATTATATATTTTCTTTAATAATCTCGAATCTCGAATTTCTATATTGTGTCTTCCTGATCATGATTTTAGTAATTTTAGTAATGATTATTTATCAAATACCAAAAAACAAACATTACTTCTTATTGTTGATACCACTTTTGAGATAGGTTTTTTTTTTCATATACGTATTTTTTTATATTTGAGATATATGATACATTAGAACTTATCATTCATGTATTTATATATATATATATATATATATATATATATAATAATATATAATAATAATAATAATAATAATAATAAAAATATATAAAATATTATTCATATCTTAATTTTAATTACCTAAATTTAGATAATAATATAATATTTTTTCTTATTTTCAACAATATAAAAATATTTAATTATTTAATTTAAATAAAATATAAAATATAAAACATATCGCCTTAATAAAATTTTATAATAATAATAAGAATATTTTTAGAGAATTAATATAGAAAAAAATAATTAATATATGTATGGACTAAAATCATACTAAAACTTATTATTGATTAGAATTTATTTTTATTATTTTAAAACAAATAATTGTAAATTATACATAAATATAATTAGTAACGGAGTTTCTTGAAATGAGAAAGGGTTATAATTTATAAAAAATTTATAATTTATATATATATATATATATATATATATATATATATTTATTTATATTTATAATTTTAGTCTCTTAAATTTAATAATTATTAAATATATTTATAATTATAATTTTTTATTTTTCATATTTTTATATTAATTTATTATTTATTAATAAATATCATTTAGTCCAAAATTAATATATTGTTAAATTTTAGACTCCAAAAATTTGTCATGATAATAAGCTTTATATGGATTACAATATGAACATAGTGATTGGCGTGGCAATTTTGGTCTTCTTAAACACAAATAGTTGGAAAGTGTTGAAATGTAAATGTCAGTTGCCTAGACACGGGTCTCTAATATGCTTTTAGGCATGCCAACGGGGCGGGGCAGGTTTTGCCTCCCGTTCCCGTGTCCGACTTTTTTTACTATCTCCGTTCTCGTCTCTCGATTTTTACTAAGGTTAGAAATTAAGTTTCTATACTCGTCTTCATTGGGTTTTAGGTTTTTCGCCCCCATCCCATCTCCGATTTATATTATTTTTAAAAGAATAATTACATTTATAATAAATTAATTTTACTATCTATTTTTTATATATAAATAAATATTTATAATTTAGAATTATTATTAATTAAATATATATTTTAATTTATTATATTTATATTAAAATATGTATGCAAAAGAAATATTTAATCATTTTTTATTTATAATATTATTATTATTATAATATTGTATTCAAATATTTGAATATTTATAACACTATTATTATAATATCTGTATTCAAACATTTGATTATATATATAAGTTAAATTCATTTTTAAGTTGTCATTTAAAAATATGAAATATATAGTTTATAAGGAAATATTTAATAAGTTAATTCTTATTCAATTAGTTCGAAGTAATAAACATTTAAATTATCAATTCCTTTAATCCTTTAAAATACAATTATTTTATTATGATAAAATTTGATATATGATAAATAAGAATAATAAGATAAAAAAATGACATAATAAAACCTAATAAATATAAATTATAAATAAAATAATATTAGTTACTATACTAAGATTTATGTAAAATATTTAGAAAAAGATAAAGAATAAAAAAAATTAACTTTGTGTTCATCAAATTATTTGAAAAGATTGAAAAAAAACAAAATGATGTGAAAGATTAAGAAAATGTGAAAAAGTGAAAGGTAAGAGAAAAAATAATGTAATAAATTAATTGATATAAAAGATTAAAAAAGACAAAAAAATTAAAAAGTTGGTAGAAGAAAAAAATTTTGGTTAAATATAAAAAAATGACTTTATATGTAATAGAAAAAAATACTTTTAAAATATTAATAATTTAAAATTTAAATTTAAATATAAAGTCGGGACGGGTCGGTGAGAATTGCATTACCCATCTCCACTCCCGACTTTTTAAAGCGGACAAAATTCATCCCCACTCCCGATCAACTCGAGTTTTCTTCGTGAAACTCGGACGGGACGGGTCGATCCCCGTGGGAACTAGTTTAATTGGGATGCCTATATGCATTGAATTAAGACACTTTATGTTTTGTTTGGTATCAGTTGACGCGTAAAGCCAACAGCATCGTATGTGTGGCTCTTGTTAGACATTAATATGATCTCCTTAATAATTAATGGGAAATAGAAACAGAAAGAAACACGTTTTGTTTCTTTTTCACAAGAAATCAATTATGTGTTGAACAGTGTAAGAGGTACAGGTGGTCCTGTGACTAGAATATATATTTCGCATTGGTAATAATGGTGTGATTTTTGTACTTATTATATTTATTAATACAAATATTTTTTAATTAATTTCTTTAAATACATATTTTAATAATAATATATAATTAATTTATTTGACTACTTAATAATTATACATAATATTACACTAATAAAATAATGATTAATATTAAATACATATAATTTATCATTTAAAATATATTGATAAGAAACGTATAAATATGATTATATTTTATTTTTATTTAGATACTTTTAAAAAAAATCACATTCATATGCATTTAAAAATAATCTAAAATAGCAAAAAGCTAAAATATAAAAATAAAAAATAAAAAACATTTTTTAAGAAGTAATTCTAAGATGCTTTTTGCAAGTTTTTTCTTTTTTTCTTTTTTATAAATAAGTTTACTTAAATATGTGATGCGTAATTATTTTTTCTTAAAAGTATAAATTATATTTAATGATATAATTAACAATTAAATTATAATTTTAAATAGAAATGCTGTATAACCCAACTTTTAGTTATAGATTATTTTGCGTGTAAAAATAAAATTAATTTAAAATTCTGAACTATAGTAATAACGTTAACAAACCCACCAAGTAATTAACATTAATATGAAATTTGTTTATTTTATTTTATTGGTGTTGAGTTTTGATTCAACCTCGTTTTTTGATAATGGTCGTTAAAAATGTTTGAAATTAAGTAAAGAATTATGTAAATAAATATATTTTGCGTTGTTGTCTAAATGAATTTAGAGTTCTATTCTAGAAATTTACATTTTACTAAATATGTTATATATTTTTAAAATAAAACCCAAATTTAATTGAAGAATAATATAAAATACGTCAATAATATAGCATTTAAGTTTTGTTATTAAGGAAGTCCAAAGCTAAATAAATAACATCAAATTGTATGAGTATTGTTAAAAATTGTTGTTGTGAGCGCCAAGGAAATGGGGACCAATAACTAGTGGGATATTATAGGAATGGACAACTTTATGTTAAGTTACGAATATTTTATCAATAATTTTACCTTTGTTTTTCCTTTTTATACTACATCATATAACTAATTTATTAATTATGTTTGATTGCTATTAATTTCTGAAATGGTATAAATATTTTAGTCTCTATTTCTTAGTTACAATAGCTTGTAGACATTTTATATAAATGAATTTTCAATTATAAAAAATAAATTTTGTTTAACTTTAGAGACTAAAGATTAAAATAATTCATTATTATATATACTTCTTTTTCTTTACTTTTAAAAATGTACTTTTCTCTTTCTTTCCACGGGTCTGCATACGCGAGTATGCAACATTTTCTTTTAAGTTTTTCATAAAATAAAATAGTGTGTATTTAATTAACATTTATTGTTTTATATCTCTTTCTTTATTTATATCATATTAATTATATATATATATATATATATTATTATTATTATTATTATTATTATTATTATTATTTTGTATATCTCTTAAGTTCATCAAACATCTTGATGTTCATATTGAAATATTATTTAACATACTATTAATTATACTTAAGCTTGGAATAGTAGGTGTGGCTTGTTTTCCGAAGAAGAGATACACTAAAATTCAAACAAATACTAACACACGCAAGGTACAAGAAAACGCCTTCAAACACGTCACTACTATCTATGCAACCCTCCCTCATAAATACATTACATCTTTCGCTAGTTCCTGCATGTTGAATTCTGAGTCATACTTCTTAACCCTTCTTTGGCAAACACTTTCTATTCTCTTCCCTTGAAATTCTTTTCTGATTGAACTATTATAGCGTTTGAAATGGCATCGCAACCAGAACTTGAGCATCCTAGGAAGGCCTTCGGATGGGCAGCTAGGGATCCTTCTGGTCTTCTCTCCCCTTTCAATTTCTCCAGAAGGTTCGTCATTCAATAAATCTTAGAATCTACTTTTTTACAGCATTATTTTTCTTAGATCTAGTTGCAAGAAAAATTATAGAAAAATATATGTTGTTTCACTTTCTAATTTTCCTGATAGTAAATACTTGTCATAAAAATAAGAAATATAAAAATTAAAGTTACTCACTTGTTTCCATTTTGTTTTTCCGAATTTTTCAGGGAAGTGGGTGAGAAAGATGTGGCATTCAAAGTATTGTACTGTGGGATATGCCACTCGGATCTCCACAGCTTGAAGAACGAATGGGGCAATTCCATCTATCCAATAGTTCCTGGGTGAGCTTCCCACTACTTTATAATGTAGAAAATTTTCATTGTTGAGGTGGAAGAAGCCACTCAATTTGATTCTAATCAGTATAAGAAATGGTGCAGGCATGAAGTAGCTGGTGTAGTGACAGAGGTGGGAAGCAAAGTGGAAAAGTTCAAAGTTGGGGACAAGGTGGGTGTGGGATGCTTGGTTGATTCCTGTCGTACCTGCCACAGCTGTTCTGACAATCTTGAGAATTATTGTCCACAATTTACTCTCACATATGGTGCCAAATATAGAGATAGCACCATCACATATGGAGGCTACTCTGATTCAATGGTTGCGGATGAACATTTTGTGATTCGCATTCCTGAAGGCTTACCACTTGATGCTGCTGCACCTCTCCTTTGTGCTGGGATCACAGTGTATAGCCCTCTCAGATATTTTGAACTAGACAAGCCTGGTCTTCATGTGGGTGTGGTTGGTCTCGGTGGACTAGGCCATATGGCTGTGAAGTTTGCCAAAGCTTTTAGGGCTAAGGTCACAATAATAAGTACATCACCCAATAAAAAGGAGGAAGCAATACAACATCTCGGAGCTGACTCTTTTCTGATAAGCCGTGACGTAGATCAGATGCAGGTAGATATAAATATTATGTGATGGATTTGGGTGGGGAAATACTTGTACAAACATTTCTCTTAATTAACTAATGTTGATCATTTTGTAGGCTGCTAAGGGTAGTTTGGATGGCATTATTGACACAGTTTCTGCCGCTCATCCTCTCTTACCTCTCATTGATTTGCTCAAGTCTCAGGGAAAGCTTGTAATGGTTGGTGCACCAGACAAGCCTCTGGAGCTGCCAATATTTCCTTTACTTGCAGGTAAGCATGTGAAATATATTTCCCTATATAAAAGATTCATAGCACAAGAAGCATATATGGTAAGTTTATGCACAGGTAAAGATTAAAATAAAAACTTTGATGCTAATTAAATTATTTCACTTAATTGGCAGGGAGAAAGATAGTAGCTGGAAGCCTTGTTGGAGGGTTAAAGGAGACGCAAGAAATGATTGATTTTGCAGCGAAACACAATGTAAAACCTGATATTGAAGTTATTCCTATGGACTATGTCAACACAGCAATGAAACGCCTCGTCAAAGCAGATGTTAAATATCGATTTGTGATTGACATTGGAAACACACTGAAACCTTATTGAATTTTGTACTGTTTACATTTAAGAGAATATGAATCCTATTCTGGTTTTATGATGCATTAGAATATGTATTTTTTTTTATTAATAATAAGAATATTTGTGTTTAAACAGCAATGAAATTTATTATATTTCTTCTTGTATTCATAGTCGGATTTAAGGGGCACCGCCACCATTTTTTTTTATATAATAATTATTATTTTAAAAACAAATAAAAATAATTTTATAAATATAAATAAATTTATTTTTTTTATCCTTTTCCTAAATTTTTTCTTAAACAATTCCTTTTTCTTCGATTTTCATATTTTTATTTTTTTCGTTTTCTATTTTTTGATTCAACTTGTTCTGTTTCTATATTCAATTTGTCTTTTTACAATTCTTTTTCACTTTGTCTTTTTACAATTATTTTTCTTTACCATTTATTCATCTATCTATTCTTTTCTTTCATAATTTCACTCTACAGAATAAAATTGTTGAGTTTTTTTTTCAATTTTTTTATAATTTATCTTTATAACATAAAAATTATAAGAAATATTTAATTATAATATTTTTTGAAATAAAAAATAATAAATATTTTCTATTATTTTTATTTATTATTATAATAAATTAATATGTGTATTATAGTATAAAATTATGAAATATTGATATAAATTTTTTATTTAATATAAATTAATTATTTATTTATATGATATTTTATTTTAATATTAAGATATAAAAAAAGTCAAATTAAGTTTACAAAATGTAAACTTATTTTAAAAAATAATAATAAAATAAACTTTAATTTTTAAAATTTAAATTTAATTAATAATATTAATAAATATTTTATATAATAATTAATTTTTATATATTCTTCTTCTAAAACTCCTGTTGTTTCTCTCAACCTATTTTATAATAGTATTATTAAATATTTTTAGCATAAAATGAAAAGGAAACCCGAAAACATGCTTTCAGTGGTGCACTATTCATTGGATTAAACTTTTTCAAAATATTGTATATTTTTTAGTTTTTTTTTTTTTAACGTTATCTTTTCTTTCTTTTTTTAACGTTTTTTTAATACTATTCACCAACAATGTTTTTTCCATGTAATCGTCCACCTTTGACATTTTTAGGCAGGTATTTTTCGTGTGCTGAACATTTCTTTAAAGGATGTTATTCACCGTCAATGTTTTTCTTGGATAAATTTTATTTGACTATTTTATAAGATAACATTTATATAATATAGAAATAAATATAAATATTATTTTACTTAATCAATTTTATAAAATCATGATGATGTTGACCTTTCTTTTATGGGTGTTGTTCACATCCACACTTTCTGGATAGGGGTGCATTAGCAATGTTATTTGTATGGATTATTCATCACGGAACAATTTTTTTAGAAGGGTGGTGATCACATTGATATTTTTTGAATGCTTATAGGTAGAAAAATAATATTTACTGATAATTTATTATGATGACTTAAATGTATATATATAATAAATGATAAATAAGTCTAAGATAATTTCATAATTATTTTTTATATTAGTTAGAATTTGAATTATTATAATAATTTTTTATATTAATTTAAATTTGAATGGTCATAAAAAATATTTATTATGATAATATAATTTGAGCTAACATGAGAATTCTATATAAAATAAAAAATAAAAAAATTTATGTCTTTTTTAATTTAATTGTTAAAAAAAATTCTACGATAATTTAGATTTGACATTTTTTTTATATAAAACTTTTATATGGTCTAAATTAGAATCCACATAATTTTGTTTTTATAAAATAAATATAAAAATATATTATATTTTTATCTATTTTATTTCGTAATTATATTATTTTCTTCTTTTTTCACTTATTTAAATTTATATCTTCTTTACCTTTATTTTTTATTTTTTCTCATAATTAATCTTTTACATAATTTATTTCCTTTGTTCCACTGTGTCATGTCTTGTAAATTTGTTTCTTCTTTACTTAAATATATTTTTTTATTTGCTTTTTTAATAATTGTTTGAGTTTGTTTTTTTCTAGTGAATTCAATTTTTTTTAGTTTATTTCTAAAACTTTTAGTTATTTAAAAGTTAGATAATTATTTTTAGTTTATTGCTTTCTTGCTTGTTATAGTTTATGGTTTGTTTTAATGTATAAGTGACAAATTTTTTATGCTTGATAATGTTTATGACAAATTAGATTATATAAAAAAATTTAAACAAGACTTTCTACCACATTTGTATTTGATTATTTTAATACTGGTATAGTAAATCTATATTGAATATAAAGTGGACATAAATAATATAAAATAGTCCCTTCCAAAAAAAATTAGTCGTTATCACACATTGATGTTTTTTTTTTTTTTTTTTTTTAGTACTAGTCATCATCAATTATTTTGTCGGATGTTGTTCACATGTTTTTTTAATAGATATGGTTCACTATTGACGTTTTTCGGTAGATATTATTCATGGTCGATGTTTTTTTACCAGTATTCTTCACGATGCTCTTATGGTACCGTTCATTGCTAAATTTCTAGCTAATATTCGTCGCCAACATTTTGTCCATGACTATTGTACACCATTGTTTTTTGGATGGATAGTTCACCAGCAATGTTTTTCAGTATATATATATATATATATATATATATATATATATATATATATATATATATATATATATATATATATATATATATATATATATATACGATTGCTTATGAATTTTGATCGATTTCGATTCTAAAGGTGTTTTGGTCCCAATCAAAATCCTCCCACGTAAGTTCTTTTTACTTAGGCTAGCAATTTGACTTTCAATCGAAACGTGTATAAGGATCGAAAGTTACAGGATATCGAAAATGCTATTTTTTTTTTTTTAAAATACCGAACACAGTAAAAATATCGAATCAAGAAACAGAATATTTAAATTGTGAGGAAATGTAAAGTGCGAAAACCCCAAATTTACATTAATTGTAAATGACAAGAAATCGAAAACAGTGCAAATATATAAATGACAGGAAATCGAGATTGTAAGAAAAGTAAATGACAGGAAATCTTAAATGCAGAAATTTAAACTTTCATTGAATTGAAATGACAAGGAATCGAAAATACAGAAACATAAAACTGCTGAATTTAAATTGCATCAAAGTAAATTACCAAGGAAAATACAGAAAGCGGTAAATGTACTCAGTGAGCAAGGAAATCCAGATTGCCAGAAACTTCATGGTGTTCGTCGTTTCTCCGGTAGACTTTTCATTACTGATTCTGTTCTCTGCCAATTTCTGCTCCCCTGTCCCTTCCTCCTTTGCTCTATTTATAGGTGTTTCTTTCAAGCCTTCCAGGAGTAGTTAACAAAACTGCTACCACGTTCTTCGTGCAGGTTGCAGTTTATCTTCTACAGTTTCCCACGTTCTCACGATCTTCGACTTCTATTACGATTTAAAAACTGCTTCCTTTCGTGGTTTGGCCAAAGTCTCGATGTCCACGTAGGTTGGCTTTCTTCACTTTCGATTAATGTTTTCGAGAACTCCAAATTACTTACGATTTCTTTTTCACCTTGATCTCATATAACTCTAATTTCTTCGTTTTTTACTCGACAATAAACATTTGGTTATCATTCGCTCGATTCTCTTCTCGATGTTATGTACTAAGTACTTCTAATTTAGACATCGAATGATTTTTTATCTATCTTATCGATTTATCAATCAATCACATTTCTTTCCTTCGTTTTTCGATTGTTTTTCTCGATTTGTCACTAACAAAATGCCCCCTTGGAAGAATATGAATAGTTTTTGTTTATATTCTTTCAATATTCCCGCCTTAGTATTTGGAGGCCTACGGAACTTAGGGTTTAAGGTTTCTGGGGTTCTAGGGTTTAAGGGGTTTTGGGTTTCTTTTTTGCTTTATGTCGTCGTCTCGTCAGTCTGCTGCCTTACGGTACAAGTCACATTAATTACCTTTCGCCTTGTCATTTCCAACTCCCTAGGTGATTTTCCCCTTATTCTCTTCGTTGGTCTTTACTCTGGTTTTCTACGCGAACCTTTACCCTTTGCAACTTCATCTTCCTCCTTGAGCTCTTATCTCTGTCCTTACTACCTCACCTTTTAACCCCTATCCTTCTGATTTCTTCAGCTTACTATAATGGCAACCTCATCTAAGTCTTCTGATTTTTCGGCTCCACCTCTTCCTTCGCTGACGGCTCCCCTTCTGGAGATCAATAACCAGAAGTTTGCTCCAATCCCTCTGATGGAGGAGGCTTCTCAGAAAATCGCTGAGACGCGGGTACTCATTCCTTACACTACTGATGGTGTTAATTTTGCTTTTGAGGGCCCTATCCATTCCTCTGGCGGATCTTCCCTTAACCTTACCCCAAACAGCCCAGCTCTTGTCCACCAATCTCACATTAGGGTTGATTTTTTGAATCTTACTTCTAGAGTATATCGAACTGGCCCTCCTTTCAAAAAGCCTTTATACATTAGATGGTTCGATAGAGTTAATACTAAATTCGGGAATCATTGGAGGGCTGTGGGGATTTACGACTTCTTGCACTTGTCTCGATGTGACCTATCTCATTTAGATATGACCATGTTTTTATCTGCTGTGCACTTATGGAATAAGGAAATACATGCTTTGGAGTTACCTTGCGGTCCTCTTTCACCCACTCTATTCGAGGTTGCTGTTATCACTGGTTTGAAACCTTCGAGGGAAAGATATTTTAAGGGTGCATGTCCCTCGGATAGTTCTTTAAGGTCTAAAATTGATTGGGAATCGAAGGCCTACGGACATTTCCTCGAGAAGCATTTTGTTGATGACGAATCGGTCGTTATAACTGATGAAGAACACATAGCTTTTTTGGTGTACTGGTTATGTACCCATGTTTTCTGCCCTCGATCTATCCAAATTTCCTCCCACTTCTACGACCTTGCCTACCTTCTTCATATAGGTCAACCTAGAATAAGTTTAGCCAAATTTTTGTTAGCCCATGTATATACTACCTTTGATGAAGCTGTCGAGATTTTGAGTGCCTCCAAA